GAGAGAGAGAGAGAGAGAGAGAGAGAGAGAGAGAGAGAGATCAAGTTAAGCTTGCTCCTGCATGGAAGGGACGAAACTGCTCCCAGGAAGGAGATACTGAATAATGTCACCGGGCAGCACTGCTAGTCAGCTGCCATTCAATCTTGCAGCCTCCTGAGCACGAGCTTCAGGAAATTCAAAGACACCAGGGATGTCAAGAAGGGAGGGGTGCGGGAGAAGGAACGAAAGTGAGGGAGAGACTAGTAGAGACTAGTAGAGAAAAACTAGTCCCACATTGTTCATGGAAGTCATCAGAAAACAGACCACTGCATTTTCACCTCCTCTGGACTTGATTTTTGCTCTTCTACGCAGTCACTGGAGAAGGTCCCTGGCACAGCTCCAAGGTCATTGTCCTTTCCACTCCACTTCCCTCTGCTCATCCAACTACGAACGGCAGCCATCATCACTGCCAACATGGTTGGCTTAATGGTGACAGCCCATCTTCAGCACAGCGGGTTTCTGGACTATGTCCTCCCTCTTGATGATCAAGGTCCTCCTCTCAAGATATTCAGAACGCTATGCGTACCTTTCTCACCCAACATGTCCGTTCCTGGTTCTTCCCTGGACACAATGGTTTCACAGGAAACCAAGTTACTCCTCAAACACGAACTTTCCCTTCACCAAGGCATGGATCTCTGCACATGCATTATGTCCCTACCGCAGAGGAGCCCTCCTTACCAGGCCTATGAGGGCCCATCCGTCAGAAAGACAGCCATTCCACAGCTCAACCTGACACACCATGTGTTGTCAGGGGCTCTCATGTTTCCACCTCCAACAGAGGAAGAGGCAGGCTTGGCTGGGCGGGAATGAGGGATGCAGAGTGCACACTGTTCTCATTTAGCTATCCCACAAGAAACTGGAGGAGTGGGGCCATGTTTTTTGTGGGCACCCATGTGAAGGCTCATCTTTGCCGAAGGCTGCTGACACCTCCATCCCTGCAGTGTGACTAGCTCTAGTCTATACTGGAGACCAGGTTTCTGGTGAGGACACTCACATTCTGTCTACTGCTCAGTAAGTGATATTCATGGGGAACTTACAGGTGCTCTAGGAGCTGAGCTGTGAACTCATATGGATCCTTTTATCCGGGAGGCAGAGTATTTGGGGGTGGCAGATATTACACTCAAAAAATAAATATTATTTGGCTTTGGTCTTGATGCATGAACAAAACTCCTATCTATCTCAGGACCAGGTGGCACAAAAAACAAACCAAACAAAGCAACCCCAGGATACCTGAGCAGGTAATAACATTTGCATTGCCAGTTATGGGAGGACTAGGAATCCTCTGGGATAGTGTGAAGGGCTGGTGGGGGTTTGGAACAGATTCTGGGTACAAGGACAGTGTGGTTGAGGGTTTTGAAGTGGGAAGCAAGGTGTCACAAGATGAATCTAAAGATGTAGCGGCTAACACGGATTCATGAAGCAAACGTTGTGGGGCAAGGGCAAGGGTGTGGGCACATGACCTTTAAAGCAGTGGCTAGGTTGCTGTGTCTGCTGAGAGCATGCCAGTCCCTCACTGTATCCCTGCACTGCCACCGGTACTTAGCACCATTCATTAACTGTGTTCGAAGAAGTATTTCTATAGATACGCCCAATCATACAGAGAATTCTACAGATTCGAACAAGAGAATAAAGCCCTTAAACTACTCGTTTAAGAATTCAATGGGACCTCAAAATGTCTTGATGGGGTTAAAAGTGATGCCAACAGCCAGGGTGGGAATCTTACCAAGTCCAGCTGAGACAGGCTGATGGGACACTAGTGAAGCTGCAGCTTACTGGACAAATTCCAGGTGGAGGACTGAAGAGAGGACTTGTTGGGGTCCTGGTGTTGAGGTTGGATGAAAAGGAAGAGCAAGCCTGAGAGCTCCATACCTATTGGACAGTAAGATCATGTTTGAAACTGGCAAGTGGGACATGCTCTAGACTGGCAAGCTTGAAACCAGCAAGGTCTCTACCTGCTGGGAGGGGATATTAATGATGTGGCAGAAGAGAAGTTCCAGGCCAGCCAGGCAGATGCATTTGAAGCCCCTTGGCATAGACATATCACTCAGGGCTAGTGGACAGCACTAGTGAGATGAGATCACCAAAAACTAGGCCTTGAAAATGCCACAATGCAAATGTCAGGTTTGGTGGTTTGGCTAAACTAAGAAGCAGAAGGCAAAAGGAAATGAAATACAGTGGGTGACATAGCCACACCATCGTTTAAGGACAGCAAAGTGGCAGCATAGTCTCATGTCAGTCCTGCTGTCCCCCTTCTTTCAGGAAACACGTCCTGATGACTGAGTCTCTCTAGACGAATTTCTAAATGGTCCTATTAAATAAGAAACACAGAGCCAAAAATAGGGGTGAAAGCCTTAGATATTAGGGAAATACTGAGAGCCACCAGCAAACCTTAACCTCACCATGCCACCTTAGCTTCCCAAGAGAGCTACTTCCTGTCTACCCAGGCTTTTATTGCCTTGCTGTTCTGCCCTCTCATTGGCTCTTAGCACAGCTACCTCACTTCCTGTTACTGCATGTCTATACAGACTTCCGAGTCTCTATGGTTAGCACTGGGATTAAAGATATGTGGCACCATGCTTGGCTGTTTCCCAGTGTCTCCTTCAACACACAGAGACCATTCCTGCCATGTGATCGAATTAAAGGCATGTTCTACCACTGCCTGACTTTTGTGTTTACCTTAAAATGCATTGCTATTCCCTTTGATCTCCAGGCAAACTTTATTTATTAACATACAAATGAAGTATCACCACAAGTCACCCTGGTGCTCCCACCTACAACAGTAGCTACCCTGTCCTGGAAGCTCTGTGCTGGCAGACAATCATCAAGTCAGGTAACAGGATATCGGTGGCCCTGGGGTGTATGCGGGTGTCCTTTACATGAAAGCAAGGAGACTAGGACAACGGCTCCACTACCCACTGTAGCTGCTCCATTCTGAAAGCCGAATATGTCCTTATTAACTTACTAAAGTTCCGTTTTCAGAACACACAGGTTTATGCATTCATTTTAAACGCTTTTATGAATGTATTCTTTATTTTTAATTTTTTATTTCAGATCTCACTTGTAGTGTAGTTTGGCCAGAAACTCACTATGTGGCACAGAATGATCTCAAATTCCTGGCCATCTTCCTGCTCTGCCCCCTCTGGGATTATAGGAATTGGCCACTATGCTTAATGAATATGTGTGGATGTGTCTGTGTCTTCCACGCTTATAAACCCACTCTCACATGAAAGCTACGTGTGTGCAATGTTTGCCACTTGGCCTGGATCTCATTAGGCAGCCAACCAAGGCATGCCTCCAAGTCCTGATGCTTTTGCC